AAGCCAGAATGTATTGAACACCTACTATATTCCTGGCACTATACTAAGCTGGAAGGGAGGCTAAAGATGTACATTATTCCATCTCCGCCATACATAGCTCATAGAAAGAAAAGTAAAGAAACTAAGATGTGATTGGTGAAGAAATTGAAATAGGTATAATCCATGCAGAAGATTCAGTAACTAACTCTGGGGAGAAGCATGGAGCACATGGAAGATATGCCAGAAGAGAAGACACGTGAGTGGTTTTGAAGGAGACAGATATACTTGGTGAGGAGAACATTCCAGACCAGGCAGGAGGAACAGTGCATGCAAAGGAATAGCGGTGTGTGTCTAAAGAACCCTATTCTGTTTGGTGTGTCTGTCAGTTTATAGTAGACGGTAGAAACATTAGATCAGGGTCTAGTCATGAATAAATACATACCTTTATCCAGGGGTAGTAAAGCACTTGGACTTCATTCTGTGGGAGATAGGAAGCAGGTGATGGGCACAGTGGGATCTCTATATGTGAAGAAACCTCTGCCTTGCTATGTTCAATCCTCATGAGATACAGGATTTTACAGGCAGTAGTAGCATTGAGACCTATGGTCATGTGGTACCTTCCTCTTCTGGGCAGTGGAAAAAGTAGAAGCTTTGGAGGGAGACAGACCTGAGTTTGATCTCAGTATGTGACGCTGGAATAATTTTTAGCCTTTCTGACCTTCAGATGTCCCATCTATAAAACTATAAATGAATGCCTGCATTCTACTTAGAGTTGTGTAAAGACTCAGTCTGGTTAGGATGTAAAGCCCTCAGCACCCTGCCCAGCCAATGTGTGGTGCTGCCTTTGCAGCCCTCAGGAGGGAAGCTCTGTGAGCACTGGAGGCAGGGTGCTGCTCATTTATCTTTAGGACAAGGGGCCTGTGACCATGAAGAAGAAACAGAAATGGTAACCCCAGATGTAATCTGGTAACGTTGTCCCTGAGCTGAGTCTCTTCTCACCCCATCCTCCCGTGTCCATTTTCCATAAGTTGTGCCATTAATTCTCTCATTACCCAGTGGAATGATATTTATTATTAAGATCATACTTAGCATACTCCCAAGGAGCAAGTTAAAGTTCAGCTAACATCGCCACTTTCTCGTTGTCAGGATACACTGAGGAATCCATACGGAGAGCTTCTGTGTGTCTTATAATTTCATATAAAAAAAGATTAAATTTTATACTGGATCAGGGAGGGGAGGAAAAAAAAATCCCAGTGCAGAAACAAGTTCTGAACCTAGGAGCACAGTTTCTGAATGTTTATTTTGTCAGATACACAGCTGACATGATTAGTTCTAATGGGGTGGTGATCCTCATTGAATTGCAGATTGGTATGAGTGACTGAAATACCGCAGGGACTTAAATAAGTGGTGCATACGGTATTACTTAGGCTGCATCCTTTAGCCAAGGTGAGGGCTTCGTTTTCCTAACACGCATGCACACACACACACACACACACACACACACACCTGCTACATATGCATCCATCTAGTCTAGAAGCTCCACACTGAACATTAATTACCTATCTAGAGTAAGGCTGGCTGGCCTTTACTTCCTTCTCTTTGCCCTATGTTACCTGAGTGTACCCCCGAGCCCCCAGCATTCTCCAGTGCAGATAATCGTGTATCAGATTAGTCTGCCTTGCTGCTGCGTCAAGACCCAGATCAATTTATTGACTCTGCTAGAGTGGCTGGTACAGTAATTGTTACAAGAGAAGAATAGAAAGTGAGAACGTGTACACGTGAAAAATAAAAATGACGTTTTGTTCTCTCCTGCCCCCTCCCCCGCTTTTTTGCCTCATAGATCTTTATGTGTTTACACAGCAGAGAGCACTTTACTTAAGTTAATCAGCTCCTTCTACATTATTAATTGTGACAGGGTGCCACATGACAGGATGAGTATTATGGGAAACATCGATCTCACTCCGATGGTGTGGACCTGAGCAGGTTTGGTATTCCTCTCCCTGTCTTGCTGCTTTGGGGTCCCATCAAATCACATTTCCCTGATTGACAACACAGAATACCTCCCATCAATACGATTGATTTTGTGAAAAGGACAAGGAACATTTTTCAACTGGAGAGAGATGAATTGTGGTTATGGGAAAGAGAGCATCTCAGAAATCTTTCAGGTTAGAAGCCTGAATTGGGAACTAAGGTATTATTGTCATCCCAAACACAAGCGTAATTTGTACCCCCTGAAAAATGATATTACGAGAAACTTATTACAAGTGAAAAATAGACTTAGTGGAGGCCAGCAATGAACCTGAGGACATAATGGCTGTTTTTAAAAGGCCACCTGCTAATTTTTTTGTGAGGAATTTTTGGTTAAGTGCACATCTTTGAAAGACATTTCATTAAAGTTCAACTTTCATGGCTTATACCTGTAGACCCTAACATAAATCCTGTGTGAACGGACAAAACTGAGTGGGTGTCATTTGTGACCTGGAAATAAAAGGTCAACCATTGAATTTATAGCTTTTTTAGTGAAAAGAACATAAAGATTCCTGCCAACTGGAGTCAATCCATATTTTAATGTTTCCTAGTTAAGATTATAAAATCAAAGGGATTAGGATCGTGCTGCTCAGTGAAGGTCAAAAATTAAATGTGATGGGCTAAGTGTCATTCCCATGGGGCAGAAGTTAATATTTCAAAAACCATTTCTACCACTGGCAGTCAAGAAATGAATTGTCCATGATCATTAACCAAGTTAAGGGGAATCCCACTATCATTACTAAATTTAATGATGATTATTATACTAATCAACTATATTATTAAATTACTCTGCTGTTCTGTAATGTCCCCAAACAGTAATAGTGAATTGATTGCTACAAATAGTTCTCATATACAGTTGAGAACAAGTTGAGATGGAGGATCATGGATGAAGGCCTCCTTTTGAGGAAAGAAGTTGTGACTATTTTATGGATAACAGTGATAGTGTAGAATGTTCTTTTAAGATGAAGAGTGAGTGGCACTACAGACCTGTTATTAAGTATAATTCATCAGTACATTTTTTTTAAATACAAAAAAAGAACATGTATTTCTCTTTATTGTGTGTGTGTGTGGGTTTTTTTTTTTCTCTTTCAGATTTTTGTATCATCCTCCCCACCTTTTTTTTTCTTTTCTTTTCTTTGGGAAAAAAGAACGTCTATTTTGCCAGATTCCTTTTTCCACAAATTTTTTGAGCTCTGAATACTGTCTACTTTGGATTTTTATGAAGAGGGAAGAAAGGATATTTAAATGTCTTTATATGATGACTCAGACACATGTGCCCTGTACCATTTTCAAATCCATTTTAAGATGCCAGTATTTTTCAAAGTTTTAGAATACAGTACACTGAAGCTGGTAATTTCCGTAAAGATTATCTACTCCAGACTCCCGTCATTTTTCAGATACAGCTTTAAGAATATTTTGGAATAAAGTTCATATCATTTTAATAAAGTAGCACCTCCAAATAAGAGGGCCAAAGCCTGGGGAACTGAAACAACTTGCAAGGCCCCAAAGCTAATCAGAGGCAGAGCAGGACTGAAATGCAGGGACCTGCCATGAGTGAAGGAAGGGACTAGTGGTTTAATATGTGGCTTAGAAAATGGGAGCATGGTTTCCATTTTACAAAGGTGTTTTATAAAAGCCCAATATCCATTAGACTGACTCAAATGCATTGGAATTCCAAGAAACAAATGCATGTAATTCAGAAGTTCACTTTGCAGGATTTACTTTCATAGACTGCCATGCAGGTGTGTGTGTGTGTGTGTGTGTGTGTGTGTGTGTGTGTGTGTGTAACCTGTGCTTCTGTCTATGCTCCTGGACAGCTTTTTGTTGTATATTTTTCTATCTTCCGATCTTCACAGTGCAGACAAAGGTCAAAATTCCCATCTACCTTCACAGGCAAACACTTTAAAGTGCTTCTACATGAGGCAGGTCGTAGGGAGGACCTTTGATTTAAAGTTCAGCATTTACATTTGTAATTTTGACTAATTTCTGTGCTAGCATTAATTAAATTGAAATTAATTAGAATAAAACTAAAATTGATCATTAGGATTAATTTAACCTGATAGGCTTTGTGTGCCTTTCTAGACAAATATTATGAAATATAGTGATAATGAAGCAGTGAGAGGTATAATTTCACATCTTATAATGACTTTAGTATCCACCAGTTGTTCTCTCTGATATCTGGATAGTGCTGAATATTGCTCTTTGTTACATCATTACTATTTAGCTAGGGCCACGCTGTATCTCTCAGTTGGCCTCTTCCCAAATATTTTTTTCCTGTCTTGAAGTCTAAAGATGTACCAAACTCCCTTCACACCACCCCCATATTAACATCATTGTTCCCTTTCCCCCACCCCCACCGTCTTCCAGGAAGGCGGTTTGCTTGGCTCATCCCTTGGGCTTTGCATCACAGTGACCTTTGTAAGCCAACAACTGCTGGATGAAACTCCTTATGGAATTCGCTAATGCTCCTCAGCCCTGGGGTCAATACTGTCAAATCTGGACTGTCCCCTTGCACCCCTTCCTGGCTGCTTGCTTTGAGTCAGAAGCAGGCACAGAATGAAGCCCCGACGAGGGATGCCAGGCGCTGAGTAGGTAACTGTAAGCGGGTAGAGGACAGAAGCGTTGCTCCTCCTGGTGCCGGATTCACTTCCAGGAAATAGTTTCCCCTCTTCATCACACACCTTCCACATAGCTTGATCAAGCAAGCACGCTTCCAAAGTTGGTGCCCTCTGTTTCTTAAAAAAGATTACAGGTGAATGAAACTACTGTTTTACCAGAAGAATCAGCATAAATGAAATGAGATTAGCTCTGAATCTGCCTACCCACACATGAACAAGTGTGAAACACTTTGAACTATCAACTATTAAATCAACTAAAAAATTATTTTGTCTTCAAAACCATTAGGATCCACATGGATAAATTAAATCCTCAGGAAAATCTTCAAACCATTTTAAGTTTCAAATTTCTCCTGTTCACCATTTTGTCAGAGTTGCTTAAAAAAAAAAAAAGTAACGTTAGCAGTTATGTTTAATAGGCTTCCTATAGCAGCCATTATTGGCAGGGGTCCAAAGGATAGTGGAAAATGAACCAAAGTTTGATAGATATTTCTGAAAAAGAAAGAAGAAAAAATACACAAAAGAAAGAACACATGATTTTCAGTCATTTGGAGTTGACTGACCAATGAGAAATTATCTCTTAGGCAAATTATCTTCTTTCTGGAAATCAGCCAATCAGTCCTGGCTAAAGGCTGAGAAACTCTTAAGAGTTGCAAGCCCCAATTCCACCCAATCACTGTAACTAAACTGCTGCTCCCAAAGAAACCATTTTTATCATCCATTTCTGCAGAACATCCTCTAAATGGATTCTTCTTTCCTTCATGTCCTTATCCAGTAAGAGGAACCTTCTGATTTTTGCAGCAGAGGGTTTTATTTAGAAGCACATTCACATTTATTTGGTTTTAGAAAACGCTTAATGTTTTTTAGCGTTGAGCTAGGTTGAGTTCAGGGGATTGAGAAAAAAGACTAAAAGCTTTGCATGTAGCTAGCATGCTCATGCTATTATTGAACTTTATGCAAGAAAAGTGACGGCTCAGTGTTGAACTAGGTTAAGAAAAGGCCATGATCTAGCACATGAAGATGAGGTTTCTCTCTTCCCCCAAGACAGAGAGGAATCCCCTTCCCCCACCCCAACAACTCCAAAAATAAAAAAGCATCAGCTCTGCATTACAGTCCTATTAGGAGACAAAACACATGTATTAGTTCATTTCATCCTTACAAACACCATGCTAGCAAGGTGGTCTTCATCCCTTCTTAGCAGAGGTGCAAACTGAGATCCAGATTCACCACACACTCCTAGTCCATCCACACCCAGCCATGCAGTTGCTTCTCTGAACCCCCCTACCGTAGTGCTTACTCTTGAACTATTTGTCTGACTCATCACACGTCACTCTGCAGGGATGCAGCTGCTGAATCTGGGTACTGGGGATGCCACAACCTACAGTTTTGCCGGGTATGCTCACCTATCAGGAAAGGACTGCTCCAGAATGAAAAGATGCTATAAAGTAGCTCTTGAGCATTGCCCTGAGGTTACAGTTACTGTTAGCATCATTGATTTATTACTGCTGAACCTACTTTCTTGCTATTATAGATAAACTCCGATTCAGAGAGAAGTTGAGAAGCAGAGTCCTTGGTTCTCTTTCTCCTATGCCCTTTCCATTTCTGCCCATGAAGATGATGGCTGCTTTCTCTGAACTCTTGGACCCTTGCTTAGCAACAAGATTGAGTCTTAATTTCAATAAGCCAGGAAATCATCTCTCTCCAGATTGGTTCCCTGTGGGCATCTGAGAACCCCCTTCAGTGCTTCCTGCTTCTAAATGAAAAATAGCCATTTCTTCCTCTCCAATGCACCTTTATTGGCCGGAAAATCCCTGAGATCTTTTTGACCTCAAAAACCTCTTAGGTTTAGGATCTTTTTTGGACTGGGTACATTTCTCTTCATAACTTAATCTTCAAGGCAGGAAAACAATTTAAGCAAACCCTAGTTTTAATATTTGAAGAGAATCAATGTGCATTGACCATTTCCACAGAAAGCTGAAAATCATTGCACAGAAATTTTAAGTCATGGCCACGAGATTCTAGAATCTACATCTAGAAGCCATTGCTCACTTTTCAACTATAATGTTAACTAGAATGCCTTTTAGGGAAAATTAAGAAGCTACAGTTCTCTTGGCCCCTGCCCTGCCTTTCTCTCTGTCTTTCTTTGTCTCTGGAGTAGACCTGAGGAAACTTTTAATACTAACGAGAACTTGGTGCCGCGTAGCCTCTGAGTCTGAAATGCCTGAGAAAGCAGTCCAGATTCCAACTGTAAAACATTCCTTCACCAAGCCTTGGAAACTAGCATACAGAGGCCGGCAGAGTTCAGAGGGAACACATGTAAATGAGGCTCCGTTATAAACTCCTGAGTAGTTTAAACCTGAACTTGAACTTGTAAACATGTTCCTTGAGAACAATACAGAAAGGTTGATGCAGTAGAACAGGAAGTCATATTTTAGCTCAGACATTTTGCTCCTAATTTAAAAGAAGGAAAATATCTTAAAGTATTCCTTAATTGAACTGTCTTCTAGAATAGCACAAATTGGCATGTCTGCAAGATTTTTGGTATTGCAGAGTCAGAATGGAAGTGTATATGTATATATATCATTTGAACTTACCACCATTCTTGCAAAATAAACAATAGAATTTCCTATCCATATGGTGATTTAACAAGAGGATATTTAAAGAGCCTGTCAATATATAATAGTCATGCCATCTGTAATTGATTTTATTAATTGATAATAAAGTGACAATAGAGGTGTGGGACTGTTTCAAACTAGCACTGTGTGTGTGTATATTCGGAGTTTGTTCCCAAATCTCAGTTACTGGTAGAGCACTACCAAGTGGAATTTATCAGAAAACAAAGTGAGAATGAGTTTGTACGCATGCTCAATTTTATAAAACACATTTGTGGGCCGGGCGCGGTGGCTCACGCCTGTAATCCCAGCACTTCGGGAGGCCGAGGCGGGTGGATCACAAGGTCAGAAGATTGAGACCATCCTGGCTAACACGGTGAAACCCCGTCTCTACTAAAAATACAAAACAATTAGCCGAGCGCGGTGGTGGTGGCGGGCGCCTGTAGTCCCAGCTACTCGGGAGGCTGAGGCAGGAGAATGGCATGAACCTGGGAGGCGGAGCTTGCAGTGAGCTGAGATCGCGCCACTGCGCTCCAGCCTGGGCGACAGAGCGAGACTCTGTCTCAAAAAAAAAAAAAAATAACACACACATTCGTGAATCAGTCTTCAATAATCTTTGCTTGTGAGATCTCCATCTCAGAAGTCACTACTAAAAAGGTAAAAAATAAATTAAATTGTCGGTGTTAGAATGATATTACCTGCCGCTAAGAAGCATAGATCCCTGACAGGGAAACCAAGTAGCTGTGCCAATCACACATGCTATGTACAGTCCAGGTTGTTAGGAAGGCCCTTCACGGAGACCGTCAATGCTATAGGATCTTCACCTTGCCCAAATCCCAACCACAACCCCATCAGAAAGCCTCCCCCTCATATCCCCTGGAAATATTTGGGAGGAATCTAATTGTTTGTAGCAATGAATATTGCTTAGTTGTAAATTTAATCTACAAATTTAGAAGGAAATAAATCTGAACATAAAAAGCATTTGCTGTTTCAGCATTAAAAAAAAAAAATTACTGTCATTTGAAACTGCAAACTCTCCCATGTGGGTTTGTTTTGCAAGTCACGTCCTAACAAAGACAAGTTTTGTTGCCATAAAACCCTAAATCCTACCACATCCTCAGAAGCAGGGGAAAAGTATTGCTCACTGGTTCCGGGTTTGGGCTTTTAGGATAATACACAGAGTTATGACTGCGCAGAGGGAAATTGTTCGGTTTTTATCCAGGGTTGTTGGTTCAGATGAAACCCTGACACACACACACCTCCCATCTAGATCATATCAGTGCCTCACATAATTATGCTCCTTACATTTTAGGTCAGTATCTGAAAGTCATTTTGTGTTTTTATTTTTTCCCTCAAATGCTGTGATAACTAGTATCCTGAGGCCTGTTTTGCAGAAAAGTTAATGACCTCAAAAACCTCTTAGGTTTAGGATCTTTTTTGGACTGGGTACATTTCTCTTCATAACTTAATCTTCAAGGCAGGAAAACAATTTAAGCAA